TAGGAGTAAACAATCAGTATTGGCACTGATCGTATACCGATGTCGATATTTTGTGTGAAGTGGCATCAATGTTTCTTTTGTAAGCTAGCAAGTCTACTTAAGACGAAGTAGTTTTCTGTGAAACAACCATCTGATCTCCAACACCATACTTCATGGATCTATTACAGATGCATTCACGCCAAAAGATGATAGATTTGTTTGGTTCTCTCTTACAGATCTACTATGTTCATTAGACGTCCGCTGTCATTACTGTCTCGTTTCAACAAAATTAAATTAATTCAATCTATACCAGCCCTATCATCGACAACATCGATTTATGATCAAAATCCATCACTGATTGCTTACAAAAAAATCATCGATATTTACGATTTTTATTTGAACACAAAAATTGAAATCGAAAATGGGTTACCAGTACCATCGACAGCCACATCACTCATACACGGGCGCACAATTATGGATATTGGAACAGTTGTGAAATTCGAAATAAAATCTGGTCTTCGAAAACGTTCTGGTGGCAAATTATGTCAATGTGATGTAGTTACTGATGTTAATATAGCATTTACAGAAGGAAAACATGTTAAACGTCCTGATGTGGCCTTTTTTTTTACTCGAGAGAAGAATTTGGACGTCGACAGTGTTACGACACGAATACCCCATTGTGTTATCAACGTGACAAGTCCAGGAAACGCATCGAAAGACTTAATAACAAATTTGGATATTTATTTACCGGGGGTTAACGATTATATTGTGGTCGATGTTCGTGAAGGTGCACAAAAAATTATACATTATACACAGCACAAAGATAGAAAACATATGTACGATAAAAGATCAACATTACAATTAACATGTGGTTGTAATTTAGCCGTTTGTGCTGCTGATATTGAGTGTGATGACAAAAGTTGTTTGGTCCATCATTTCATTCAAAGATAAACTTTTTAATTATTGTATTGTTCTTTGTTTGTTGTTTACTATAACAGTTATTCTATTACCTTTAGCGTCAGAGACATTTTGTTGTTACATATTATTCAGACGGGTAATTTGCCAGTTTTATAGAAAACTTTTCTGATAACTGATCTATGGGCGAAATAAGATAGAACGTAACACCCAATTTAAAGCCAGCCTGTAAATAAACTTAAAAAGTTCTTTCATATTTTACAAAACGATTCCATATATGAATCCAGTAGAATTTTAGTTGCGACAAAATTGCTCCAGATTAGATAGCACAAGGTATAAGGCTAAGACAGGTTATACATATGATACGGGTAAGATGTAGGGTACGGAATTTTCTAAGGCTTTCACCCTATCGCACAACAGTAGATTACGGTCAATTCGGACAAAGTATTGACAAGACAGGCAGATCAAACCACGAATCTTTCTGTCCGTGAATGAATGAACACCATTATACGGCGCCACGCTTTATTGCACAGGTTTTTCGAGAATATCTAGAAACCTACGTCCGTAAAACCGCGAACAATTTTTTGAAAATGATTCGCATGCCATTCGAAAGCGCATTCGCAGTGATCACTGGCCACGCAAGAACTCGTTTTAAAGTGCTTTCTTAGGAACCTGACGACCAAACACTCTGTTGAGCGTCACTAGTGTTAAGGTTAAGGAAATTCAAAAGAGAAGCACTTTTGTTTTGTTGATTTTTATACATGGTTGGATAGAGCTCGACGAGCTGAACAAGAATATTTGTGTTTTAACCTTTCGAATCAAAATTTTAAAATTTTAAAAAAACAGCTTGATTTCCAAAAATGAATGTAAAACTCGAACACAATGTGTTTGGAAAGCTTGGAAGCTTCTCCGTAGAAAACTGAATCAGAAAAATAGCGTTTCGATACTATTCAAGTGTGGTACGATCTAAAAAATTTTACTTTTTCACCAATAGCATAAAATCCCGTTTATGTTGACGCAAACAGCTTCAGGTGTCGAGATAGGAGATGAAGCCGATATTTTTATATAATTCCACTCGC